ATGCCTCACCACCCGCCATCACGCAGAGATGAAGTGCCAATTGATATCTTTAGTGGTAAGCTGTTGTGACAGTTTCTTTGTAAATGTTTGGCCACGGCTGTTTAAGCACAGCCATCTCTTCCACTTTTAAGTTTCCTCCTGAGGGCTTTTTTTCCTCTTTTACTGACTTCACAGGTTCCCTGGGGCATTAATGCAGAGCCCATCCTATGCATGCCCCGGTTCTGTCCCCAAACTCCCCAACGTATTGTTGGCCACCCTGACTTTTCCCTGTTATAATACCAATTCAAGTTCCAGAAAAGATTTTACATAATTGCAGAAATAAAATTAGCTTCACCTCCATCTGTCCTCTCTTTTTTCCCCCTGCCACGCACAGAATGAAGAGGTCCAGAGCTGCTGCTCTGCATAGTGATGCGACTATTACTGCCGTGATGAGGAAGTAAGGTGGGGTGACAGCTGTTTTTAAAACCTGACTGAGCTCGCTCCATACAGGGAAGGCTTTTTTTCCCCAGCAGTTTCCCCCTCCCCTGTCTGCAAACAACTGTATTCTTCCCTGCCACTATTCTCTCTGTCCGCCTCATTAGTTCGGAGGCAGGAAACCAAATTAGGCTCAATTACAAAGTCATCAAAGGCCATCTGAAGTCCTGTCTCAGCAAGCAGGCCCCAGCACAAGGGCGGGGTTGTGCGCAAAATAACGGTGGATTCAGCTGCAAGAAATTTACACACAAAAAAGACAAGGAGGATTTATTTAACCGATGATGATGATGTCGCTGTCCATTTGTAAAACTGAACGATCACTGAAGACAGGAGAGTCTTCCCCTGTACTCAAAACGAATAACAATTCTTTACACGCTGTGATTATACAAGAAACATGGGAGAAAGCAAACAATGAGGAACTCTCCCAGGGTGCATTCATTTCCCCAATTATTGGATCCAATCCAAACTCGCTTTGTCAATTCATTACGGACACTTTCTCCCCCCAAAAAAGAGGTGTTGTCTGCCCGAGTATTAGAAGAGCAACTAAATTCCAGCTGAGATGAGTGTGACATGCACTGCTGGTCCTTTCCCATTAGAAACTTGTTAATCCTTATCATCACATGTAGAATGTTTGACTTCAGCCGTTCGCTCAAGCTGTTTCCACTTTTGGCCAAGATGCAGGAAAATGAGGCCAGTGACTCTGAGCTCTGTTTTTCTGGGTCTTTAAGGAGCTTACTGTAAACAGCACACGGGAGCTGCCATAGCAAGTCTAACTCCTGACTGCAGGATACCCGTGAGGAGTTTCACTGGACAGCAAGACATCCATGAGCCAGGTCTTACCTGTAATCTAATTCATTCTATGGAGAATTGGTAACTTTGAGTTTTAAAGCGAGATTTTAATAAAGGGCAACATGGTGGCACGGTGGTTAGCACAGTTCAATTCCACCACCAGGCCGGGGTCTTTCTGTGTGGAGTTTGCATGTTCTCCCCGGGTATTCTGGCTTCCTCCCACAGTCCAAAGACATGCAGTTAGTGGGGATAGGTTAATTGGAAACACTTAATTGCCCGTAGGAGTGAATGCGGGAGCCCTGCAACAGACTGGCGACCTGTCCAGGGTGTACCCTGCCACTTGCCCTAAGACAGCTGAGACAGGCTTCCTAAAAAAGATAAGCGGAAGCGAATGGATGGATTTTAATAAATATCCAAAGGCCTGTTTTTTAAAACTACTGAGACATTGTTTTCTGTTAACAAGGTTTGTTTGAATCTTCATACTTTGTCTTATTAAGCATCCAAAATTGCAAAGTTGCTTGGTGAACATCTGCTGCCCCTGGGTCTACTGCTGTATAGCTTTTTTTCATCATGGTTATATTAATTGTTTCTGGGAATCGTCAGCTGGTCAAGCAGAGTTTGAAAAGTTTGAAAAAATTGTGACAGAAATACTATCTAGTGTATGGCTCATCTCACTATCTTTGACCAGCTATTAAATCCTTTTATTATTCCCTGACATGAAAAATCAAGTGTGTATTTCTGCTTTATTGTGCAGCGTAAAGAATAAACAGGTGTGTGGAAAGCTGTGCAGTCTGAAACGAGTACATTTGCAGGCTTTAATCATAGGTGTTGATGTAAATTTCACACTTAAGACCAAAAGCCAGGAAAAATAGAGCGATCATGTGAAGGCAGAGGAGCAGAGGGTGAGATGCTGCAGTAACAGCAGCACAGATAACACGCCGACACCATCGGATCACTCGTGGCAGGGTTTATGTTGCTGTGGAGTCTGGTTAAATCAGTGGTAAGAGGCCGTTTGTCTGACATCTGATGAGAGTTTGGTACTTGGCTGTTCTGTCGCAGTTGAACATATGTATAAACTGACCCTGAATATCAGTTGCAGTTTGCTTTGTAGTGTCACTACAGTCACACAGTCCAACGTCTGGCGTCTGTGGTTTGTCACTGATGTTGTTATTCACGCTGACAGCTTTGTAAGAACATGTCTGCTTTTGTTGTTAGAAAAAATATAATAACCCCAAATAAATCCCAGTGTGTGTGTGTGTGTGTGTGTGTGTGTGTGTGTGTGTGTGTGTGTGTGTGTGTGTGTGTGAGACACCAGCAGCTACAGTTTGTATTACTTTGTCACTAATGTCATTCTTCTGTCACTGGCGCCATCATTCATTCGGAGGGATGATCCCGTATCATCATAGCCGTTTTGTTGTTGTTGCTGGATGAATAAAAGATTACACCGGATTGGTGGATAATTCTAACGTAACACCAGCTGCAGTTTATCAGCAGAATGCACTGCAATTAAGAAAACATGCTATTATTGTTATTTTTGTTTTCTGGCGTGATAAAACTCCCTGCGAGTTGCATAAACAAACATATGTGATATTTGTGTTAACCCAATACTTTGTGCCACCAGCTGTAGTGTTTCATTAGTGTCACTGGTCTACCGCTGCCATAATTCACAGTGCTGTTTATCTGACAGTTTAATTGTGAAAATAAATAAATGACTATTGACTGAAACGATAACAAGGGGGAAGGAGCGGCTTTTTACTTTGTCGCTGATGTGTCACTAGAACGAGCTTTCCCAAGAATCCTTTTCAAACACGGTAAAAGCAAAGTGATGTTTAGCAGCACAGTTGAGGGTAATAATCGAACAATAATTTCCACTGTTAAAGGCTGGATGATTCAGATTTTATGTTTGAAAATAACCAGGAATGATTCACAGATTTAAGAGGACCAAAAAAAAAAACCCTTCTTATTCTTACAGGTGCCAAATTTACAATATAAAAATTCTCAGAGATTAAAGTCACAAATTTGTGAGAAAAGACTAATTTTTATTCTGTCAACGAAGCAAATGTGATGCAGTTCTTTTATTATAACTTTTTTTTCACAAATACATTACTTTATAAACTCAAATTACATCTACAGCACAGTAGTAGTGCATATTTTTTTCTAGTAAACCTACAAATTAAGACTTTAAATTTGTTTTTCTCCCCAAAATATTACTCTTCTAGAAAAGAAAAGCACACAATTACGCAGCCATAAATTGATGACACAACTTTTGGCAGGTTGCTATTTCTGATTCAAATTGCCACATTTTTATATAAAATTTTGAATTGTGCTCTGCACCATAAAACTAGCTCTGGTCTGCTGGTTGGCTGCAGTTTGAAAGGCCCATTTGTTTTAAGTCCCAAAGAAGGAGCGGGCAGTGGATAATAGCTGGCAGTGTGTTACCAAGTTACAATGGACAATTTTAAATGGACCATCCAACAGAAAAGTAAATGCATTATCAGAACTGCCGATGCTGGAAACATTCCTCGCAGATTTTGGTTCATATTAACATGATAGCGTCACAAAATTTCATCATCAGATCTCAGCTCTATTGGACTGACAACTGGTGACCAACTAGTTGAATACAGTGAACTCATTGTCATGTTCGAGAATGTCTTCATTGGTACATTGTGTTCATAAGGGGATGGACATGATCAGCAGCAGTACTCAGGTACACTATGGGATTTTAATTGGCACTAAGTCACCTAAAGTGTGCCAAGAAGTCATTCACCAGATCATTACACCACCAGCAGCATGAACCACGGATACATAGCAGGATGGATCCATGTGTTCCTGCTGTTTCTGACCCTACCGCGTGAATATCGTCACAGAAATTAAGACTCATCAGACCAGCAAACATTTTTCCGGTCGTCTATTGTTCAGGTTTGTTGAGCCTGAGCAAATTATAGCTTCAGTTACCCTTTCTCTGCTGACAGCAATAACACCCAGTGTAGTTTTCTACTGCGGTAGGCGATCTGTTTCAAGGTTTTACCAGTTGTGCATTCAGAGATATATATCCTGGTTGAAACAACTAGTTATTTGAGTTATTGTAGCTTTCCTATCAGCTTGAAATAGTCTCCTCTGACCTCCAGCATCAACAGGGCATTTTCACCCAGAGAACTAACTCTCACTAGATACCTTCTCGTTTTCAGACCATTTTCTTTAAACCCTATAGATCATTGGGTGGGCAAATCCCTGTCGATCAGCAGATTCTGAAACACTCAGCCTGACCAGCCTGTCTGGCACCAACAACCATGTCATGTTCAAAATCACTCAAAATCATCATTCTGATACTTGATTTGAACTTCAGCAGGTCATCTTGACATTGCAGCAACTCAATGCCTAAAAGCGTTGAGTTGTTGCCATGTGATTGGCTAATTTGATATTTGTTTTTAAGTGCCATTCAAGAGGTCTAGTGTATATTTTCTATTCAACACAGTTCAAGTGAAAACGCAAGTAAGTAAGTAAGTAAAGTAATGACTACCCCTCTGTCTGCTCTGTTTCTCATCTATGTACAAAACAGCCTGACTCCCGTGTGGGTGGCAGAACATCAAAGGGATTTTTGCACCACAATAAAAGCGTCACAGATTATTCTGTTCACAACTAGACTTTCTTAATTCTCGCACTTGCTCTGGTTCTTAGTCTGGGTTGTAATTGCTTCTCTGTTGCCAGAGGTCTCTCTTTTTGCAGTTGTTACTTACTCAGGCAGATGTTGTCGTGGAAAAAAGTGAGAAAGTCGCTGCATTGTTCCCTGTGGTTGCCACTCGCTGCGCAGGAGCACCAGGGTCCCACATTGGAGGTGGAGTTGTCAAGGTAGTTGGGAGTTATTGTGCTTCCTGTTGAGGGCAGGAGAGGTGGAAAACAACACATTTCTGTATGTTTACAGGCGTACTGAGCCAACACATCTCCTCACATTACTATCTTTACGATGCAGTGATTGAATCTGACCTTAAGCGAGCTCGCATAAAAAGGAAGCTATCTCTTTGATTTAGCCGAACTGTGCGGAATATTTAACATCTTTTTTGTTATTCAAGCTATTCCGCCCGTCTCCCCGTGCAACACTCTGCTCGTAAGCGCCTCATAAAAACTGCAGTTTCCAAAGAAAACCCCCCAAAAAGTTGTCTGACTGAGAAGTTTGATGTCATTCGAGCTGAATTCTGGCTGATTTAATCTTGTTACGCTTAGCCTGATTATGACCTTACTCTGATTACGATAATCAAATAAAGGCATTTACATGGCAATTTCTATCATCCCGGCATTGCCCTAATCATGTTAAGACTGAGTTATTAGTGCGTATGTAAATGTATTCATTGAGAGGGAATGTGAAAGGAATTTAAAAAGAGGAACGGATGAAAACGGAGTGAATGCGCAGACGGGCAGGTTAGTTAGTGCCGCAGCCGGACACCAGCTGGGACCGAGTCAGGCAAAGAAATCTTACTGTATTATGTCACACAGCTAAAAATACTCTGTCTGTGTAACTGGTGATTATTCAAAAATGTGATTTTCATCGTGGGTGAATTTATCATACATACAGTGCATCGCTGCTAGCTTATCCTCTTGATCTCTTGCAACCTTCCTACTTTGTTGATGTTACAACAGATCCAAGCATCCAAGTACCGCAGCAGTTGTTTAGGTTTTCTTTTACACTTATGAACTCCCCAAACATGCGCATCCACCAGATGCGCCAGCCTGGCAAACTCTGATAAGAGCAGCGGCCTGAGACACAAAATTCAGGCGCCGTCAGAGTCTTTCTTTTCGTTTTGAATCTTTTCAACCGTTCAGTGGGAAATGATTGGAAAGTCATTCCCTGGGAAGCCTTCTAGTTTGTATTTTTTAAAGAGGGTGAGGATAAAACCGCTGCACTTCGAGGCAGTGTGGCAAAACAAAACAAAAAAAAAAGTTCTGATTTACCTCTATTGATTTTTCTGGGACTTCCAAACAACAGCACCTCAGAGTTTCACTTCGTCTTGAGTTGTCTACAATGGCCAATCTGTGCTGCACAGCTTTCTGTCTCCGTCTTCCTTTATCTGTCTACTTCACTTTCCAACAACCCCCCTCTCCCCCACACACCCTTCTTTTTGCAGTACTTCACTTGGGTATTGTTGTCCAATAATGACATGTTTGAACTGAGTGCTTTTTAACAACCTTTTGTGCATTATGTGATCCTTTGTTAAGTTTTTGTACGAAGCACAATAGGCCGTGTTCTGCGCCTCTACCCAGTCCCGCTCATTGTCACGTCAGGGATAATTCTCTCAAAACAGCGGTCAATAGTTGTAATTGCACTACTTATAATGCCAACGATTTGGCTGGGCACGCTGTAGCCACATTAATCAGCACTTCATCGATTCCTAAAGCGCGCTCCTCATCACAATCCTTGATTCATTCTTTTGAGCCCTGTTCAGCGCACTTGTCTGCTCTTGGCCTTCCTCCCTCGAAAACCTTTTGTTCCCAATCTATCACCGAAGGTGGGCGAGCCGGAGCTGGTGCAGAAAGATTTAGTTCTTACCTATCAGGCCGGTGTATGCGAGCAGACATTGCCCGTAGTTCTCCTGCTTGCAGCCACTGGCACTCTGCTCGGAGGGCTGGCAATCATGCTGGAACTGTGCCCAGCGAGACCTGTGGGAGCAATAACATGCCATCCATCATTTACTTGTGCTTGGCTGCTGCACACATCATGTCAATGAGTGGTGGCCAGCGCTGGTGCTTTCTCTCATCTAACCCCAGAATGTAGGTTTGAAAACCACCACGCTCATCTACCTGCTTGTGCTCCCCGTGACAACTCCCTCTGCCCTTCAAGATCTCCCGCTCTACAGCACTTCAACCCTACTCCAGCCACCCATGGTGACATTCATCCCCCTTTATTCTTTCTTCCTTTTTTTCCTTCTCCCTGGCAGTCGTCTTCTGGAAAGCTGCCAGGCTGTAAAGAGTCAATGAGGGGCAAAGATAGGCCTTAGCTCTGCTCTCTTAATACTGTGGGTGCTGTCTGGCAGGCCTGGCCACGAGGAGATTAGACAAATATGGATCTTTCATATAAATACTTCCTCCCACATCAGCTTTGCCTTCCCGCCTTACCTTTCCTGCCAGCCGCACAGACATCCAACCTCATCACCGTCATCGTGCGAGGCTATCGAGGCCATCATATTGCATCATTGGCCCCCGCCGACTGGCATTTGCGACGGGATCCCCTCAGGGCACCACAACTCTCCACTTTGCCCTCATTTGTCATGTCATTGTAATGATGTGCGTAAAACTCATAGGCTGTGCGCTAAGTGAAGGCATCCTCCGCAGGCAGCCAGTTAATGCCGGCTGACTGGTGCGCGATTGGTGGGCCGTGCAGGGGCCTTGAGATGCTCTATCCGTCGGGGCGGCAGTGGAGAATAATGCCTGATCGATAGCCGTGACAGATGAAGCCCTTTGTCTTCCTGACATTTGAAGAGGAACTAGATTAAATGCTGGCGACCATTTGCTGTCAGTAAGAGGAGGCTGACTGGATGCTTCTGAGAACTCCGTGTTCCTGGGAGAAACACACCCTATGAATCCTAATGACCTCATAAGGCATTGTTAGTTTTCTGACTGGACGCTTTACAACCCATTTAAATTTGAATTAAATCCTTTGGTAGTCACATACATGGGGACATAAACGCCGAATAACTAAGCTTTCTCAGATGACTCACCATGCGAGGAGGGTCACTTTTTCTACAAACTATTTTCTGATCCTGACGATGTCTTCACTGCTGTTAATAAACATTTTTCCAAGCAACTTGCCAGGAAAACCATGCGTGAATCCCCAGTGAGAAAGGCTGTTTCAATAATGACTATTTCACATGGCTGCTTCACTTGGAAAATGAATGCAGAATTTAATTGAGCTAATTAAACACAGTTAATGAGTATAACAATTGCATTAATTAAACACAACTGACTAATTAAATCTAAATGAACATATCACCCTAGCCAGACACATCTTCCAAGATATACACGACGCTATTTATTGTCCTGAGGGAAAGTCAGCGAGCGAGGCCACCATCAACAGAGCACTTCAAATTAAACCAGACAGCGGTGACGATGACGCCACATCTTGTACTCGGTCAGAAAAAATAAATCAACTTGACACAACTTGCAACTTAGCTTGTCACCTGTCAGCAAACTCGTCAGCTTAGTCACTAATGGGACAGTAAACCCTTACAGTTTACACTCAACACCTCGTGTACTCTGGGAAAGGCGGTGAATAAAGCATGGCTCTGTTCCCTCAGTGGTCAATAAGACTGGCTGTTATTGCTCAGTGTTGACCAAATGCACCAACTGTAGAGGTAGTTATGAAGTAAACTGTAGTCGGAATCAAACTTGGCGAGCCTGTTTTGCTGTCATCAGTATTTTCGTCCAATATTCCGTCATCTGTGCGCCTTTTGCCCGTCTTTATCTTTTTGCCTTTTATTGGTCGCTCTCAGTTATTGCTTTTTCTTTGGAACTCTGCCTAGACAACCGGCATCCTGGAGTTACCTCTTCACTGCTGACATTGCGACTGGTGTTTTGCAGCCGCCATTTAATAAAGCTGCCAGTTGAGAACCTATAAAGGGTCTGTTTGTCGAACTGGAGACTCTGACGTGCCTTTGTTCTTGCTCAGTTTCCCCCCCACAGCCTCTCGCTTGTCTTTTCTAGTAAGAGCCAGTTTTTCCAGTTATGTAAAAGGAACATTATGCATCGTTATGTGAGTTGTTTTTTTTACTGGGTTCATTACTTGTTTGTTTGGGTGTTATGACACTAACTGAAACCACAGCAGGTGATGTTTTCGGCACCCAACTAGAAGATGACAATGGCTTTCTTATAATAATCAATTAGCCTTTTAACAGGATACAGTTGCGTTCGGCTAACTGAGCAGGGAAAGTTACATCTATGTCCACGCTGCACTGAAAACACTGAATGATTTCCATGAATCTCCAATTGTTCTTTACCACATGTCTGTTCAATTCAGTTATATTATAAATCTAAACAAAAGTGGCTTCCTTCAAAAACAAAGACCTCCCTAAGCAGCCCCAAACCTTTTGAGCAGTACAATAAATCAGGTGTTACTTTATCTTATTTTAACTGTCTTCTTTTCTTTTTAGGTGAGTGGTTGAAGGTTCTCTGGTTGAAGCGGACATCCACCCGTCCGCTCCACACCCTCAGATTTCTGCATGCAACACTTTTTTCTGGGTGCACTGGCCTTGGAGCCTAGACACCAAACTTTAATTATATTGATGCTAATGATCATAAATAATAAAACTGCTCTATGTCTGCTTGATGTGTGTGTGGGGACTGTTTGCTAACACTTTAGCAAACCTCTTTTATGTGCAGCTTGTCTTTCAGCTAGTGGTCAAAAATTAATGGCTACAATTTCCATGTAAGAAACTACCGATCGCATTATTCTTCTCGTGTCCTCGCTCGGTTACTGTGCGATTGTTATGGTATTCAGGAGCCCTGTCATTTAAAATGAATCAAGCTTTAAATTTTTCATCGTAAAAAGCAGAAAGTCAAAGAGAAAAAAAAGCTGGTGTTAAAAGCGTACGACAAGGCAAGACTCAAATAGTTTCCTCAAGAGCCGACAGATCAAAGAAGATCTGCGATGTGTCAGTAACCTCAGGCGAGTGTTTACCAACAAGTTTAACAAAAGAACTCGATAAGCTGATACAGTCTTTAAAGCCTGTTTCTCCATTTAAGTGGGAGTTTACTTTCAGCTTCTACACGTCAGATAACATTTATCTCAGTTTTAAGTCTTTGAGCATCATTTTAAAGAACGGGCACCTTCTGAATCAATCCGTTTGTCCTGGATTAGTTATTTCAAGTGTTCTGAATAAGCGTCTGAGCAGGATGTGATAACCATGACGTGAAACATTTAACAAAGTGATTTTACTTTTAGGTCAAAATATGGAAAAAGACCTTTTGTGAGCCTTTAATAGAAGCTGCAGCTGCTGAAAATGATTCTCAATTTAGTGTGAAAAGTGATGTCAACTCTAGAAATTATGTGTGAAATGTTTTTAGCAGGAGGCAGCATGTAAGACCAGATTTTTTTCTTTCACATTTCTACCTGCACACATAGTCTGCCTTGCAGATCCGCAGCTGAGCCAAACAGTTGGGCTTTTCCTTGTCTTCGTAGGAGCAGGACGGCACGATGGTTTGCCTGCGGCGCTCTGCGCAGGCTGTGTCGGTGCAGGGACAGAACAGCAGCTCGTTGGTGTATTCAGGGGGGACGCGGTCGAAGAACTTCCTCAGCGCCTTGTTGCACTTTGCTCGATTGCACGGCCCCGAGCGGGCAGACGGCTGGATGCAGGAGGAGACGTACTCCGTACGAAGCTTCTGACACGTCTCATCTATGTTACACGCCTTGGCAGCGTCCAGGCAGCGGTTCACTGTCGTCACTTCAGACTCTGAAAGGAAGAAAGAAGACATAAGTGAGCGGCAGAAAGGCTTACATCCTCGTGTGCAGAAAATCAAATCTCAAGCAATGTTTACAAATGATTTGAAGCACTAATTGGAGTTAGGATCGACTCGGCGGCCCTCACCTCTACACTCGGATGCAGAGTTGCATTTACAAGTGCAAAAAACCCCAAAACAAAACAAAACAAAACAAAAAAACAAAACCAAACAAAACCAAACAAGATGTCTTGAAGAAGAAAATAAACCAAAATGATGATTGTATGTAATAGGCCTCTCTGTAATGAATAGAACATGAATGGTGTCTAAATGTTGTATGAGTGCGGGCACTGGATGTGTTTCAGCCAAGGCCTAATGGCTGAATATTTCATTCTGCTGGGTTAATGCAGAGTGGCAGCGCTGAAAAAGCTGCTCCTCCATCTCTCCAGCCGCACAACAAGGCCTGTAATTACTGTTCCTTCCCCCCTTCATCCATCTATCCATCTCCCCAGCACTCCCTCCCTACATCTGGGCCCATTCCTCACTCACCTGACTCCCTCCTTCCCTCGCCGCCCTCCTCCCTCGCTATGTGCCTGCCACCCGCGATGCCGCTATCGCCCCCACTCCATCTGTCTCGTCCCTTCCCCTGCTTAGCTCTCTCTCCCATCCATTCTTCCTCAACTTTGTCCATCTCTGCCTCCCTCAGTGCCCATGCTCCTGCTGACTTCTCGAGTAATGAGCCACCTTCTGTGGAGGCAGTGGAAACCCCTTTCATAAGCACCTTTTTTTCCCATTGTATTATTTCCCAATCCATCATTATATGTGTGCGTGTGTGTTTTTTTCCCAAGCGACCTTCCAGTCAATACGGCCATGATGACGCTCAGCTCCTCTGGCAGATAGTGCTGCTCATTAGTTTGTAAAGTGCCTGTAGTTGCGTCTCCTGGTGAGTTTGACTCTCACCAAGCTGTCATATAAAATATGAATGGCCTCAGAGAGAAGGCAAACAACCCATCGCAAAGCACAGGTTATTCCCAGCTTAACCAAGTAGCCAGCGGAGGGCAAGGGTGGAGTGCAGGTTGGAAAACTGGATCCAGTGTCTGCATACTTGGGGAGGAGAATATTCCCACACGCTTGAGTGTGAAATCCTTCACGCCATGGTTTTGTAACCTGTTATTTATTCAAAGGAGGCTCGCTGAGCATGCAGCACACTTATGTGTCATGCACTCGCATCCAAAAGTTACCCACAGCCCGGCGCTGCCACCGGGCCGACTGTAGATCGAACATACCGAGGATTATTATCCAGTCTCACACCAGATTCTGTAATGTTCAGGATTACGCGTCTAAATTTTAATTACGTGGTGCCAGTCTCTCTGTGTTTGGACAGTGACACATTCAGCTGTTTTGGCACCATCCTTCTAGCACAATGGATTTGAAAAATAGAAAGCAACTGAGCGTAAAGTACCTAAGCCTTAAAGGAAAACTCCAGCATTTGTCTATGAAAATCAAAAAAATGTGTGTCCAAAAAAAGAAAAGGAAAAAAAAAAACACAATCGCAAACTGCATGCTTGAAAAAGTGACGTGGAAATGTCTGTAGTTTAAAGGATGTGAAAGAAAGAGTGGATTATGCCACGTGAAACTTCTCAACTTCTTTTGTTCTGCGGTGAGCTTTCTCGCTTTCTCTCCCTTTAAAGCCACCAGTGTCTCTGAACGTGGTCAGATCCTTATTACACAAACATCTCACAAACAGAAGCCTTTTTAAAGACCACCTTGAAATATTACACAGTATAACAATGACTGTTCAGCTGATCTGGATGGAAACACAACACAAGCATTTTCTTCTTACCTTTGCTAAGTTTTTTGGTAGCGTATGAGTGCGTGCATGTCACTTTCTGTAAACATAATAGCTCAATTCACTCACTGGGCCCACGTCCTCATTTTAGATTTGACAGCATTTTAGTGGTAAAGGTGAACGCTTGGACATGAATTGAGCTGCGGTTTGGGGAAGGCCTCGAAGGGGACTGGCGACGGCTCCCAGGCCTGGCAGATCCACATGTACTAAATAGAAGTGAAGAAGTTAAAGAATTGAAAGGGGAAGGGAGGGAGGGGCACGTAAACGAGAATGACAGCTTGCAGAACTGGGAGCACGTAAATGAGAGCCGGAGGGAGCGTGTTTGGAGGCGTGGTCCCGCTCCTGAAATTCCAATATATAATCTCCAAAAAGTTTATAATGGATTCTGATAAAACTTTGTAGGGGTGTAGAGTGGGGTCATATTAACAAGCCATTCAACTTTGCCGTAAATCCACCAAGGTCTTCAAGGAAAACAGACAAAAAGCCTCATAACTTAGAAACTATGATTCTCACAGATGAGGTGTGTAATGTCAACACATAGAAAGTAACATATAAAGATTTAAAATATCATGCCACATTTGACCTCTGACCTTCAAGGTCTTTAGATTGATCTGGAGGTCAGAGTGATAAGAATGCTAATTACAATATATACACATAGATTTGTATTAACAATAAATAGGTATATAGGGAATATAGGGATTCTGAAACTCTGGAACTTTGACCTCTTCTCTCTTCGTCGAGGTCAAATAAGGTCAAACTTTAATAAAATGTCTTTTACTTTTAAAACTGTGTTTAAACGTCTTCTGCTTTGTGTATATTGGCAGGATTTAGGAAATGATACTGGCGTACGGGGATTCACACTACAGTTAGCATCCAAATATCAGGTCAAATTTGACCTCTGACCTCAGTTTTACATTTCCCATTTCTTTCAAGTTGACCCCAAAATGTGTTTATATCTTTAAAGAAACCTTTGTGAAGACACAGAGAATGAGCTGCCTTGTTACTAAGAAATATCCTGTATTATAATAGTATATAATAGACTCAAGGTATTCATGTCCAGTTATTTACAAATCACTGCCTGTTATCCATTACCTACTCCTACATAATGTTTAATAATCAAAGTAATCATCTGTCACGCCTGTGATCTCAGAGTGCCTCTTGTTCCAAAGAGGTTTGTATCTAAAAGGCTGATTGATTTTGCAAAGCTTGTGACAAACTTGAAGCATCGCTGTGAGGACAAAAGGACTGATCACACTCGGGTCAACGACGCATTAAAAAAAGTTTCTTTCTTGTTGCCCTACATCTGCTGCGCTTCAACAGAAAGCCTTTTCTCAGCATCACCGAGTTGACTTTAGTTAACTGATTAATTGTTAAAGGGTGAACTGTTCTGTTATTTGAATATTTCGCTAAATATGATGAGCTGGGACTCTGACTCGCATCTTCAAAAAGGGTCATTACTCTGTCTGAGGAGCGATGCTATAAGGGCGGAAAAACATCCATTAATCACGTCTTTGTTGTTTTGGCAGTTGACTTGTCGAGATGCATGGCACGGATGTCAACTATGACCCCTTGTGGAGGTACTGGAGCGAGATTTACCAGAAGGCGGTTACAGCGCGGGCCTGGTGCTGTTGTAATTCACGTCAGCCCAGGATGAGAGGCTTCGTTTTAAAAAAGCAGCATATGTATGTGATCACGTGTAAAAGGTGACAAGCACTAAACCTGAATTGTTTGGTATTTCTTATGGTTTTTGTGTGCATTTCTTTACAGTCTTTACAGATGCAAACACAGTTTCGGTTTATCCAATTTGCCTAATCTGTGATCTCACTAAATAATGCACAACAAGCCCGAAGAAAATGAATTGGTTAAGGAGATGAAGGTGAATGTTACAGCATGCACTATGCATTTCTGGGAGCCATGAATGGTGCTGAGCTGATATCGCCACTATAATGCACCGCTGAGATCCTTAGTGGGTTTGAAAAAAGCTGTTGTGGGAAGATCCTTGAAAATGAGAGAAGCTGTGCAGAGTAGCTCTGTTGTGGGGGAGTACATGTCTGGTTACAGTATAGAGTTGATACTTTTTTTTTACTTTATACAAGTCACTGCATTCACAGGTGGTAGTAATTACTTAGTATAGTGTTCTTATAATCTTAAACCAGCTTGTATGCTCTGTGGTCTGCACTCTAAAGCTCCATTTAGAGGAAAAGCCATGCTCTGCATCTCTGTATGCAGAGCATGGCTTACCTGTTACCTGTTACATAACCTGAATTTACCTTTAAGGCTATTATGCAAACTATGGCCTGAACTGCCCTCATCTCACCGTTAAATGCTTTCCCATCCATGAAAAGAGGATGTACAGTTTACCGGTGTCAACTTGCATTAGTTCAGGTTTGGAAACATGAAATTGGTATTTGACACTGATCCCTCATTGGTATTACCGGATGCCAAAATATAGAACTACCTTTAAATCCCATGATAAATACAATAAATATTACAGCTTGTGGGAAGAAGAAACCTCCTGTGGCACAGAGTGCTTCCACTCCACTCCTCACCTCACCTCACCTCTGTACATGACTAAAGTGTACACGCCACATACCCTAAATAGTACAAAATTGTGTAAAAACATAGAGACTTCTAATATTTATATTAATGTACTGGTCTCAAAAGAATTAAAGTAACACTTGAAAAATACATCAGATCTCAATGGGAAACAAAAATCATGCCAGATATCAATATGGACTGAGTATGTGTTAGGAACAGAAGAACGCCACATCGGTTAAATGAAATGGAAACTATCAGAGCAAGAAAGTTTAGTTTGCCAAAATTTTATTGCAGCAACTCAAAACTGTACTCAGTAGTTTGTTTGGCCCCCACATGCATGACTAACAATGTCAGAGCATGCTCCTAATGAAACAATGGATGGTGTCCTGTGAGATCTCCTCCCAGATCTGGATCGGGACATCACTGAGCTCTCTGAGGGGTAACCTGGATGGACAGAAACATAAAGTCTCTGGAAGTTTCTTCATCCTCCAGTAGCTTCCTGCATACTTTTGCCACATGAGGCCGGGCAATGTCGTTCCTGATGAGGGAATCAGGACCCACTGCACCAGTGTAGCGTCTGACAGTTTCATCCTGATACCTGATGGCAGTCAGGGTGCTGTTGACTAACCTGTAGAGGTTAGTCAAACGTTCCCTCTGGCTTCGTCAGACCCTTTCACATCTGTCACATTGGCTCAGGCTGAACCTGCTCTCATCTCTGAAAAGCACAGGACACCAGTGGCGAATCTTCTACTCTCTGGCAAATGCCAATCAGACACCACCGTGCTGAGCAGTGAGCACAGGGCCCACTAGAGGACGCTGGGCCTTCAGGTCACCCTCATGAAGTCTTTTTCTGATTGCTTGGTCAGAGGCATTCACATCAGTGTCCTGCTGGAGGTCATTTTGTAGCTCTGTCAGTGCACAAAGGAGCAGATACCGGTCTTGGTAATGGGTTAAGGACCTTCTACGTCCCTGTCTAGCTCTCCTAGATGAACTGCCTGCCTGCTGGAATCTAGTCCATGCTCTTGAGACTGTGCTGGGAGACACAGCAGATGGCACATATTGATGTGTCATCCTGGAAGGGTTGGACTGCCTGTGTAAGCTCTGTAAGGGCCAGGTATCACCTCAAGCTAATAGCAGTGACACTGAGTCTAGCCAAAATGCAAAACTAGTTAAAAAAAAAGAGTCAGATTTTGTGGGTTGTCTCATTGTTGCCACTCTAGTTCACCTCTTGTTAATGCCATTAACACCAAAGCAGTGGAAACTGATTAACAATCCCCTCTGCTACTTAACTGACCACATCAATATCACAAAGGTTTAATAGATTTGATGCTGGACTTTGATTAAAACGTGTTCCTTTTACTCAGCAGCGCATATTTAACATTTCTAACATTTATTATTTTGTGGTGGTAATTTTTAAACCCACCAATTTTCCTTTTGTTTCTTCTTCTTTCAAGACAATTTGGTTCATTTTCTCGTTGACCTGTTGGGTTTATGCTGGAAAAGGTGCATCAGGTTCTTCCTGATAGTATATCATGACAACTATCATTATACTCTGCTGTAATGCATGAATACCTTCCATAGAAATCACTTCATTTCAGTCATTACATTCACAGACTCTCTGAGTGTAACTGTTGTCAGAAAAACATAAAACACTTAACTTCACGTCCTCTGCAGTGGAAAAAAAGCAACTTGTCAGCTTTGTGCAGCCTCTGTCTTTTCCATTCCTCCAGAAGAAAACAAAGTGTTTTTTATATGAGTCAACAGCTCTGCCATTTTCTTTTTCTCGCCTCCTCTGTCTCTTTCTCCATGTAACCTCTTTTCTTTTCTTCTGTTTCTGTCGTTACTTCACACTCTGGCTTTCAGCTCTTTACCCACCGCAGCTTTGCTGCTTCCAGCTGCATTAAGTAAATAGGTAATTAATCTGTGCCTTGGGGGCTAACAGCAGCACATACCAACCCTGCAGCTTGCCCACAGGCTCGGAGGCAACACAAAAGCAAAGTGAGACTGTTACTCATCAAACGCTTCACAAAACCACCTGCATATCTGCTCTGTCAAAACAACGCAGAATCACAACTTGATCTGTTATTACTCTGACACGTAGTATAGTATAACCCACTTAGCCTTTTTTTGTTCTTAAAAATAGATACTTAACTTACTTAAATGACTTTTCCCCCCCTGGCTAGGCAGTAACTGCTCATTTGATTACCTGCAGCGATGGAGGCCAGACGAACGTAGTCAGTGCCCCTCTCCTCTGGTTCATATGGGTAGCTCTCCACCAGGCTGAGTCCTGCCAACACAGAGGAAAGCGAGTAGTTAGCTAAATGGCTTTTCTTCTTTTTAAAGATTTTTGCAAAGTCCTAAATCCCAGCGTGTAACACTGTTGAAGGATGTAGTGTTACTCATAAAAGCTATAGATGTGCACAAAGCTGCAAAACATGCAAACCCCTCACATTTGTGTAAATTACCACAGGCTATTAGAAATTAGCTAGTTACAGAAGTTGCTAGAAAATCAACCACACAGTGCTCAACAACCTTATTAGACCATCACACAATGTACGGCTTAATGCCACAGCTCAGCTGCCCTGAATTATATTTAAATGGAAAATGTAAATGAAAATAGTAAAAGGGCAACATGACAAAATCTCAGGTTTACAAAAGAAGGATTTTCTTGTAGTTTGATGCTTGCAACACGGACTGTAAAAAAATGTATTATGGTTTAGAAACATTCTTCAGCCGATTCAAAAGCAGGACATCATGAAGGTAGTCAGGCACAGAGAAAAATAAGAGATTTAAGACCCATGAAAGATAACAACAAGCTAAAAATTCAAATCAAAGGTAAACAGACAAATAAAAAACTCTAGAAGAATAAAATAGGGTAAATGGAACAGGGAAAACAAGGAAAGGACACAAGGAAGGAAAGAGACAAAGTTGAGACAGGACTATAGGTGCAGATGAGTAGTGCAAAATTCACTTAGGAGGGTTCGGGAGGAGGCCCCGGGGCAGACCCAGGACATGCTGGAGACATTATATCTCTGGCCTGGGAATGCCTTGGTGGAGGCTGTTTTGTGAGAGGAGGTGCCCGGGGAGAGGGAGGTCTGGGCTTCTCTGCATAGGCTGCTTGACCTGGCCCCGGATAAGCGGAAGAAGGTGGATGGATGGATGGATGGATGGATGGAAGGATGGGTTCTTAACTCATAAGTGCAACTAGTCCAAATAATTTTTGGATTCTGTCATCTGTGGAATGTAAAGTCTCTCAAAGATCCAGAGAAACCAGCTAGAAATCTTCACACAAGGAGAAAAAGGAGCAAATCTTTGAATAACTGTGATCTTCAGATCCTTGTGTGAAGATTCTTTAGTAGATGGTAAATGGCCTGTATTTGTATAGTGCTTTACTATATCTTAGATATCGCTGCATGGACTCAGGAACATTTTTGGAAACATCTGTCACTGAGCACAGATTACTGCTGCTTCCACAAGTTAAAACCATAAAGTGAAAACAACAACAATCGTGTTTTACCACATCTGGTCTGATGAGTCTTGATTTCTGCTGTGACACTGGAACCGTAGGATCAGATGTTGGACCTTTGGCTGAAAATCTAATCAGTGGTTCAGGTTGTTGTTGTTGGTGTAATGGTTTGATTGGCCCACTTTAGACATCTTTAGCATCGTTCACGTGCCACCTAAGTATTCCTGCTGACCCTGACTGTGTCATGTCACAAAGGTCAAATTGTCTTAATCTGATTATCTGATGACGAGTGACCAGATCTCAGTCCAGTAGAGCAGTGATTCCCAACCACTGTGCGTGCTGTGGAAGATTACCTGGTTCCACCTGATAAGCACTCTAAGGCTACGTTCACACTGCAGGTCTTAATGCTCAATTCAGATTTTTTGATCAAATCCGATTTTTTTTGTCTGCTCGTTCACACTACAAATAAAATGCGACAGCATACGTGCTCTAGTGTGAACGCTCAATGCGGCCCGCATGCGCAAAAGAAGACGTCACACACAACGCGCTCTGTTTAGACCCAAAGCAAACAGTATTGTTTGACAGATGGCCTTAATAAAGACTTCGGATTTTACGTTGCCCAATTTTTGCTTTAAGTTATTTTGTTATTTACATAATAATGTAAATAACCTAATAATGATCCTTATTGCTGTTTTAGAGGAGCGGTGCTTCAAAGGATAGTTGCAGATTTCTGTCAGAATCTGCAGATTATACAGTACAAACAAAATGTTCACGTTTCTCCAACGTTGTCTTCCCAAGAGTTTCACTGGATGGCCAGGAAGCGTTCACGATGTCTTCTCCGGAGCTGATAATTGGCGTCTGTCTTGTGTTAGTGACGTAAAAGACGGATTTAATGCGACATGACCGTTCAAACAGCAGTCGCTTTCTGAAACATCGGATATGTATCGGATTCAGTACCACATATGATAGTGACCCAGATCAGATTTGAAAATATCGGATTTGCGCTGTTCACACTGTCATACCATGATCGGATATGGCTCGCATAGGGTCAAAAAATCGGATTTGATGCACTTTCGCCTGCAGTGTGAACGTAGCCTAAGTGACTGCCGTATTGTGCAAAGCAATTACATTCTCTTCCACTAGAGGGCAGTACAACTACCTGCTCTAATTAAATGGGTTGCCAACTGCCAGTTGCATAATAGCAATACATAAATATTTGAAAGGAAAAAAGTAGCCAATCTGTCCTGGGTCCCGAAGAAAATTCCAACCCAGATGAAGGCCCTAGCATGAGTAGTGGTCAGAAGAAAGCAAAGAAGGACAAATTGATCCAATTCCGCTAAGCCTGGTGGCAGGGAAAAATGCTTTTTTGTGACATTTGGTGGTGTGCTGTGTGACTTTTCTAATGTGAAATACGTGCCATGGCTCCAAAAGGTTGGGAAACACTGCAGTAGAGCATGTTTGGGACATGATGGAACTGGAGGTTCATATCATGTGCAGCTGAAAAACCTGCAGGAACTGCGTAATGCCATCATGTCAATATGGTTTCAAATCTGTGAGGAATGTTTCCAGCACCTTGTTGAATCGATTTAAGGCACTTCTGAGGGTAAAAGTCGGTCCAATCGCATACTAGCAAGGTGTTCCTGGTGAATTAAGTGGGTAACCGTAATAGAAGTATATATATCTATCTATGACATAAAATGTTATTGATGTTTAAATATAAAGTACATGCAGTTAGAAAAATAAATATTTATTATTAGTGCTGAACTTGAAATGTAATGAATAAATATTTATTGGGGAGGAGCAACTGCCGTACATAAACGGATGTTTTAGTAATGTTTGGTTGACCAACAGTCCATTACATAAAATGCACGACAGAGGCGTGGTTGCTTGAAAGCATGCGTGTTGTTTTGTCTACGTGTTGCATGAAATTGACCTCATAAATGTTTTCTACAGACACTGATTGGTTTATCCGTACTTATATTTACATTGTTGTCAGCTTTGTTCTAGAGTCGAGCTTTTTCCATTTGGTCTGAATGTAAAAGCATACGCATTTTACAGGGCCTCTGGATCTTTATTTTTGTGCCACTATTCTGAGCGCACGTAAAAAAATGTGCAAGTACAAGTGTTGCATTTTGAGGAGAAATTTATTTTGAGCGAAGAAAAGCTAAGTTTGAGTGAACAAAAGTCATTGCTGCGTTTTTGCTATTATCAATATGCACACACAATGCTCAGTTTTCGACACAATAATGACTCTTTTCATTTCAGCCTGGAATCTACTGTCAAGCCATCTGGAGGTGGAAGTCTAATTCATGTGTACTGGGTGGCACACACTTGATAATCGCAGTGACATGATACCCCAACTTCTGCCCGCCTCTTTTAATGCTACTCAACTGAAGGAAATCCAGTTAGAGAAACTGTCCTCAAAAAATGGTTTCAAAAGTATCATAAAGTTCCACATTTAGCATGATTCAAAGCAATATGTTTTAAGTAGCATGGACTACATAATCAACAGTTCACTGTAACTATATATAGTTACAAGGATATTAATAATGAATAATAAAATAATGATTAAATTCACAGTTTTTGAAACAGCTTCTGGGTCCTGATCCGGATCCTGGTCCACCTACTGGTGACCTTGGGACTAATGCGAATCTTACCATGCAGCACAGATTGATGCAGACTCCAGTAGATACTCAGGCAGTTCTTCTCCTTCTTCATGCCTCGTTTACATTGGCAGCCATGCAGAGGAGTGGACAGAAGTGCCGTCATGGCGTTCTCACACTGGTTTCGCGCCCCGGGCCCCAGTTTCACGCTGCCGTCCCCTGCCACACACTGCCTGAGGGTGCGCAGTCGCGGGCTACAGGTGTCATCGCTGGAACAGGTGTCACCAGCACGCAGACAGTCCCTCCCACCCACAGAGAGGGCCATACGTGGGATTCCTGTGAGACAAGGGAGAGGACATGTTAGAGTCGTGATGGATTCTCGAGAGACAGCCGTGTAGATCTGTTTTGTCTTTGTTTGTTTTTTTCACGTACTGACAGTTGTATTAACCAGTTTTTGCTTTGCTAATCGGAGGTTATCAAAGGTGGAAACGCATCAGACAAAAGACTTTGACTTACTTTGAGGATAGAGAGTTAACAGACAAAAGGTCAGCCAACATATTTTGCCCTCCTGTTTATACAGGTGTAGCTACCATCCCCGTGTTTGTTTAATTATTGATCTCATTGGCTCATTTTCTGTACTCCCCGACAAAGCTGTTTTGCTACTTTGTGAAAGCATTACTTTCAAATTAAAAGCTAATTTAGTACGCACTCGCAACAGAGGATGACCTTCAGTCTTTAATATGAGTGAAGCTCCTGATAAAAGTCCACTTGTGCGCCCCTCATGTTTGTCATAAACTTGGAGTGCCCGTGTCCCATAATGTGAAACTTGTCGGCACACTATCATGGGGGATAATCAAAAAATGTTCACGGCTAATTTGTGCACTAGAGTAGTTAAAGCTCTCCAGACTTACAGTGGGGATTCATAACGTTTTATTTGCTCCCCCCGCGATGAGAGAGCTCACTTTGACGTGCGTAGCTGATGGGTTTGCTCCTTTAAGCAAATCAAAACAAACTGCTGTAAATAAATGCGAAGTATTTATGACTCGCTGGTTCATCTCTAAGACAAAGCAATTGAGCTGAATTTAATAATTGGATTACATTTTCACATCCCTCGTCAGCAGCCATCAAACACGGTCAATGATTCCTCTTGCCAGTAAAAAAAAACAACAAAAAAAATTACATTCATAAACCCGAGGGGTGCGCTATATTATTCATGAATTCATACACATGTCACATGAAATCCATCTGGTGCCACTGACTAGGTTTTGATGAAACTTGTATCTCACCAATACATTCTGACGTGTTCTAAATTACACTGAAGCGTTTCAGCTCCAGTCAAAACAAAGTGTCATATTTGTTACAGATTGGCCCAGAGAGCAGCTGTATTAGTTGCGGGGGGACAACATTTTTACCATCTGCCTTTTTATTTCATGTGGCACTAATAACATGCAAGCTTTATTCCCCTAAGGACAATATTTATTTCCAGCTGTCTAAGAGTTCCTGTTTAATATTCAAAATATACAGTGCATGTAACATTAAATGAAACATCTTATTATTAGAGTAAAAAAAAAAAGAAGAAGCTAGAAGTGAGTGAAAAATGCTAAAAAATAAAGAGCTAAATAAGAGTGTACAGTGGTGATAGCCCGTTTTTGCCTCTAATTGGGCTCATTAATGAAAGGATCAGTAATTTTTTTTGCCATGTAAACTATCTTAAGCTGCAAATGCTAATGTTTGTCTACTGACAATGCAAATTTGCAGAGGAACAACAGGATATGAGGTTAGACATCTCCACTGTCTTATGCAAATAGTTAATTATTTTGATGCTAACTGCTAACATGGATGTCATAAGTTTGTCAGGCTCGTAAGCAAAAGTACTGCGAGAGCTGAAACTTTAAATTGGACGATGGTGCAAGGAAACTTAAGAGTACAGCACCAAATTCTTTGGCAATCAATCAAATAGTTTTATTTTATTCATGTCACCATGGCGACTCAAGAGGAGAATGACAGATGTCGAGATTCAGATTCCCAAAGATTGGATCAAAGTAATGTAATGACCAACAATGCCTCCTCAACACTTTCTGCAAAAAATAAATAAATAAAAAAGAGTTAAAATATTGTCTTTTAGTGACATTTTGTGTCTTTATTTCATAGCTGCAGAGAAGAAAGGGAAATGTAAGGAGAGAAAGTGGTGCAAATTGAAGTAACTGAACCTGGGACTTGCTGAATTTGTGCTCTAGCCACACTGCTTCTGGGTTTCTCCGCAAAACTTAATTTTTAACTGTTGTGGATATCCTGAAGTTTTAAACACTGCATATATGTCAGGCTGGATTTTGGTGAAAAGCATCTAAAACATCTCGATGCACCAAGAACGCTTGAATATCAGGGAATGGTGCAGCTATAAAATATCAACTTTTCATGTTTGCGTACACCAAAGTGAAAATTTAAGGCCTAAATGAGACATACAGGCCAGTTACAGCTTAATAAAATTGAATTCCATCTCACTAACTGTGGGTTAGTTTTAGACTAACCCACAAAACTGTCAGAATTGCTCATCCCTGTTTGACTCAGACTGTCACTCTCCCTGGATGGATCTCGGGGGTCGATCAGATAAAACAAAAGGTTACAACTTCTTTGGCTGAAGCCTTCCACACTCGTGAAGAAAATGGGTTAACTGCCACGTGCCCGGCTGGATACGTCTCAACTGTGCCGAGGAATGAGCTAATCCAGCGGCGGCCTGTCAATAAAAAACTTAGACAGTGAGGCAAGAAGCTTGTTGCTATGTTTGTGGATGCTGCTGAGAGAAAGCATCTGCCACTCAAGTGAAGAGCTCATTTTTGCTGAGGTCTTGACAGGCAGAACTTATTGTGCCAAACAACAACAACAACAACAACTACAAAAGAACCCACCTCCCTCCTCACCAAATCAGTTATTTCACTATAGAATCTTAAAATCTGATGTATCTTATGTAAAGCACGGGGCGGTGGGGAGAGAAAAAAAGAACTGCAGGGTGAGATAATGTCATTCGTTTTTGATGCAAATCAGCTCTGCTTGAGAGTTTTCTTGGATCAAAGGATGGTACCTAGGAAAGAAAAAGTGGAGGAATCTGCCGTATGTCAAGATGTTTCACTCGCTCTAAGAAACCCCTAAAAAGTCAGATTCGCATTGGAAACGCGCAACATTGCCTCATCCCCGTGGCGGTATTCCTTCACTGGAGGTGAGGAGAAACAATATTTAAACACATTTGGAGTTGCTTCGTTTTGCTTCTCTCACGCGAGTGCGTTTGAACCGCAGGTGAGGGCTGGATTCGTGGGTGGCGCGCGTGCGTGCGTGTGTGGCTGTGTGTGGGTGTTCTGGTTTAGAAGGTGGAGCAGAGAGGAAACTTAAAGCAGAGTTTTCCTTGCAATTGGTTTCAAGTATGGTGGGGGCGGTTGGGGGTGGGGGAGAGCTCCTGTGAGCAGTGGCAGTGCGAATCTTATTAAACTGCAACTAATCCAGTGTGGAGAGAGGTTTGATATTTGTCTGAGGAATTAAGCAGCACTCCAGATTGCCAGAGATAACTGTTTGCCTGGAAACAGAGCCGCGGCGCACCGGCAGTTCAAAGACAGACAGTCAAAACCAATTAGGAGAAATCAGTTGCCTTGTCATTCAAATTCGTTCCATCCTATATCACTTCCTGTTTACCCCACCGAGGTAAATAAACTATTTGGGCACCCTCTCTATCTCTCTCTCTCTGCTTTTTTGTTTCTCTTCCTGCTTTTCCACTGATTCCCTCTTTCACGCCATGCTTTCCCCACATTCTTCCTGTCATGGCCCCCTACCCAGCTTGCGCTAAAACACACCTGGTACAGTTCAAAGAGAAGATTCTGAAATCAGAGAAACATTTTAGTAAATAAACGTTTTTTTTTATGGAAAGAAAATGAAGAAGCAGACAAACACAACACTGAATTCACTTGTCATTCCTGTGATGTCGGGCCAATTTGGCTTTATTCTTAGAGCCGGAAACAAAAACAGACACGAAGAATTAACAATGTTTTTTTTTTTTTGACAGGGAAACCATGGAAGTGCTCACATTAGCAATAACAGGGGGGGAAATGATTGTGTTTTAAATGGCGGCACAGCGGACCGCGAATTCAAAACAACCGTGGAAAGCACGTCACGTGTCAATTCACAGTGCAAAGAATGAATCACTGCCAGTATCCTTTAAAAATCTATGAGCTCCATCAAAAGCGTCGCGTTCTCTTATGTCACATGAAAGGAGCTGAGAAATGCTTAATAACTGACGTCCATCACTGCAAGCAGTTCATGAAAAGAATGATTATGATTAAAGGGTGTGGAGGACAGCCAAGCCAATAATAAAACGATGTAGTATTCAAAACATGCTGTGTGCTTGAACCAGAATCATGTTAAGATTTCCTAATGAGAGAATCCGAGTAGAAACCACTCGCTGTCTGTTACAGGGGAAGGAATCCTTTTTAATTTCCCGGTGCTCTGAGCTTTTTACATCTTCTAATTTTGTTTTTCCATCTTCAGGTTTTTCATTTTCTTCTTTTTAATTTATTTATTTTTTCTAGAAATACAGTGTTTGATCTGCAGTTGAGCTGCAGTTCCTTAAATAGCTTAGAGGCTCCAAAGATTAGTTCCCATAGAATCTGGTGTTAAAGTGACTAAGTTCAGAGAGAAAAATTAGTTTATGCGGTACAATGTTCACAATCTCAGTAGCTAATAGTCTTTATAACATGTGATTTCTGTATAACTCACTAAGTTCGGGGTGTAGCTCCTTTGGCTGACAGGAGTCCTCACAGGCAGCTATCAGGCAGAAAATCAGGATGAAAGTGGACATAAAGCTGCGGCTTCCACAGACAGAGTTACAAATATAATGGATGATGTCATGTTGTAAATGCTCATCCTTTTGCAAAGTGCAACACTACAGTCGCGAATCTAGTCACATACATCGCTCAGGTGTGATTTTGACACCTTCTTCCACACGCAGTCTTCAAATCCTGAAGGTTTCGTGGGCTCCTTCTGTGAACTCTGAGCTTCAGTTCTTTCTATAAATTTTCAGGGCAGGTGATTGGCTGGGCCATTCTAGCCGCTTTATTTTCTTTATCTGAAACCAAATGAAAGAGTTTCCTTGGCTGTGTGTTTGGGATCATCGCCTTGCTGAAACATCCACCCTCTTTTCATCTTCATCATCCTAGGAGATGACAGCAGAATTTATTTTTTTTATCGAGAATGTCTCAAAACATTTTTCCATTCATTCCTCCTTCAATTACACGAAGAGTGCCAGGGCCTTATACTTAAAAACAGCCCCACCTCCAAACTTCACTGGTGGTCTG